TTAGTAGAGACGAGGTTTCACCGTGTTAGCCAGGATGGTCTCGATCTCCTGACCTCGTGATCCGCCCGTCTCGGCCTCCCAAAGTGCTGGGATTAGGATCTGGCATTTTTTTCCACGAATGCACCTGAACTACTTGGTCACCAGTGGTAACAGCAACCAGGGTTCCGACCTAGGGAACTCCGTACCCTTCTGACTGGAATGGGGTTGGGATCTTGCTACACATCCTGGTGGAAGGGAGCCGTCATCCCTACCCTCGGTCTCTTAAAATCTAAACCACAAACAGCAACGAATCCCCTGCAGCCCCGGTTCTCATACGGTCTGTATTCGACTCGCCAGCTTGGAGAGGTCTGGTAGAGAAAAGGAGTCTCCTTAGGTTTGACAACAAAGAGAAGAACCCAGGGCCGGGCATGGTGGCTCACGCCTGGAGTCCCAGCACCGTGGGAGGCCAACGCGGATGGCACACCTGAGGTCAGGAGCTCAAGACCAGCCCGGCCAACATGGAGAAACCCCGTCTTTACTAAAAATACAAGATTAGCTGGGTGTGGTGGCGCATGCCTGTAATCCCTGCTGCTAGGGAGGCTGAGGCAGGAGAATCGTTTGGACCCAGGAGGTGGAGGTTGCAGTGAGCCAAGATCGCACCCCTGCACTCCAGCCTGGGTGACAGAGACTCTGTCTCAAAAAAAAAAAAAAAAAAAAAGGCCGGGCTCACACCTGTAATCCCAGCACTTTGAGAGGCTGAATCACCTGAGGTTGGGAGTTCGAGACCAGCCTGGCAAACATGGAGAAACCCTGTCTCTACTAAAAATACAAAATTAGCCGGGCGTGGTGGCACATGCCTGTAATCCCAGCTACTTGGGAGGCTGAAGCAGGAGAAATGCTTGAACCTGGGAGGTGGAGGTTGCGGTGAACCGAGATCACGCCATTGCACTCCAGCCTGGGCAACAAGAGCAAAACTCCGTCTCAAAAACAACAACAACGACGACAACAAAAAAACTTAGAAGGAGGCATATGTGTTATAAAGTCTTTACTACAAGTTTGATTTTATTAGTGTTTGGTTAGTGACTCTGCCAAGAGTACAGAATGAAGGGCAGAGAATAAGGACTGGAAAACTGGCAGGAAACACACTGAGAGCCGCCATCCCTGGAGGAAACTGCTCAATACAATGGCTCCATATTCACTTCTCTAGTCACAATTTATACTCCACCGATTTTCACAAAGGATTCGGGGAAGCTGGATGCCGTAAGTGGAACCCGGTGTCTCTGGAGGTAAGCTGCCTTACTGATTCCTTGTTTTACAATTATTTTTCAATTACAGTGTAACTACTAAGAGTTTCAGCTCCCACTGGAGTGGCGCACACATCTCATTACTACTAAAACCACAGGAATGTTCCAGGGAAACAGACTATCATCATCGAGTGAGGTGGAATCCAGCCAAAACCCCAGGCTAACCTCCAGATGCCTGCAGATCAGCTAAAATCCTTTTAAAGGACTTGGACTCTCCAGATACTAGTTTTAAGTCTTTTCTGGGAACTGGGAGTTTGTATTGGAGGCCACTTAACCATTTCAAGAAATATCCACCAAAATAGGTGTCTCTCTGACTGCAATGGTTTCTGAGTCCCCCCAGCCCTCGTATCCCAGGCTTGGGACTGTTGGGAAAGTCCCGTCTCCTGTTGAAAGCTCAGCAGCAACAGAACCTGTTTAGTTTAGTTTTATTTGAGACAGGGTCTTACTCTGTCACGCAGGCTGGAGTGCAATAGCGCGATCTTGGCTCACTGCAGCCTCAGTCTACCAGGCTCAGGTGATCCTATCTCAGCTTCTCGAGTAGGTGGGACTACAGGCATGTGCCACCATGCTTGGTGAATTAAAAAAATTTTTTTTTGCAGCGATACAGTCTCACTATATTGCCCAGGCTGGTTTTGAACTCCTGGGCTCAAGTGATCCTCCCACCTCAGTGTCTCAAAGTACTGGGATTACAGGCGTGAGCCTCCACACCCGGCCAACTCAATGTACTAGGATTACAGGCGTGAGTCGCCCACCTCAGCCTCTCACAGTACTGGGATCACAGATGTAAGCCTCTACACCGGACCTGCAGAACCTACACAGAACCCACACCTGGTCCGCAGAACCCGCACCCAGCAGCAGAACCTCTTATTTTTTTTTTTGAGATGGAGTCTCACACTGTCATCCGCGTTGGAATGCAGTGGCGTGATCTCAGCTCACCGCAACCTCCGCCTCCTGGGTTCATGCCATTCTCCTGCCTCAGCCTCCTGAGTAGCTGGGACTACAGGCGCCTGACACCACGCCCAGCTGGTTTTTGTATTTTTAGTAAAGACAGGGTTTCACCATGTTGGCCAGTCTGGTCTTGAACTCCTGACCTTGTGATCTGCCCCCCTCAGCCTCCCAAAGTGTCGGGATTGCAGCCGTGAGCCGCCGTGCCCGGCTGGCAAACAAAACCTCTTTTTTCTTTTTTTTTTAGATGGAGTCTCGCTGTGTTGCCCAGGCTGGAGTGCAGTGGTGCGATCTCCGCTCACTGCAAGCTCCGCCTCCCGGGTTCACGCCATTCTGCCTCGGCCTCCTGAGTAGCTGGGACTACAGGCGCCGCCACCTCGCCCGGCTAGTTTTTTGTATTTTCAGTAGAGACGGGGTTTCACCATGTTAGCCAGGGTGGTCTCGATCTCCTGACCTCGTGATCCGCCCGCCTCGGCCTCCCACAGTGCTGGGATGACAGGTGTGAGCTGCCGCGCCCGTCCGGCCATAACCTCTTTACCTTGTGGTCCACGGGCTCCTTTCCTGTGGGTCAAAATCCCCTTGGGACCCTAAACTGAAGACCTTACAAGGTGGGTGGTAAGTCCAATAAACAGGATTTCATCTTCCGGAGCTCCTGGATTTCATCGTCCCACGGGCCACAGTGCAGCGACAGAACCTCCTCAGCCTTCTGGATTGTGCTCAGGGCTTCGGGTACTGCAAACCTGAGCCAAGGGAGGTAAGAGGAGTTAGTTCACTGATTCGGGAGGCAAATGTTCATTGAGGGCCTACTCACACACCGTGAAGAATATAACATCATTTCTGTCATCAAGGATCTTACAGTCCAGAACAGTAAGACACTGTCACAAACACGCTGCAAAGCAGAATGTGAGAAAACAGTTACAAAAGACAGTATAGACTCCAGCATCCTGAGAACAAGAGGCAAATCTCAAAGTGTTTTTTTCTTTGAGACGGAGTTTCACTCTTGTCGCCCAGGTAGTGGTGCGATCTCGGCTCACCGCAACCTCCGCCTCCCGGGTTCAAGTGATTCTCCCGCCTCAGCCTCCTGAGTAGCTGGGATTACAGGCGTGCGCCACCACACTCGGCCTCAAAGTTTTCATCTGGTATTGACCACAGGTTTACACAGCAGTGTTCATTTTAGAGTGACCATCTTAGGGCTGACCTCTGACCTAACCCTGCAGCCCTTTTCCCTCGCTCTGACCAAACAGAATGTCTCTGTGTCTTGGGTATCGGCCCACTCACCATTCATAGCCTTAGGCTGAACCTTTTTTTTTGAGATGGAGTCTCGCTCTGTCACCCAGGCTGGAGTGCAGTGGCCGGATCTCAGCTCACTGCAAGCTCTGCCTCCCGGGTTCACGCCATTCA